AAAAAAAAAAAAAAAGAAAGAAAGAAAAAGAAAAATTATATCCTTAAAGTAGTGGATGGGTACTGAGGCTGTGATCCGATTTCACTCAGGTTATATTTTTATGAGTAATATTAATAATTAACTTACTTGATTTACAATCTATAACCATTGGTCCTCAGGCTAATACCATGAGATATGCAAGACGGGCATATTAATTACCCCCATTTGACCCCAGAACACTTTGTCTACTGCAAGAGGATTCTGCTTGGAAAATTCTTCCTTTGGAGGGACATTGTGTATCCAAAAAATTACGAGAAAGGTAACAATCACACAATCACACCACCCTAAGGCTATTTGGCTTGCTTTCTTTTTTTTTTTTTGGTACCAGGGATCCAACTCAGATCCTTGCACTTGTGAGGCGAGGCAGGTGGTGGAACCACTGAGCTAAATCCCCATCCCATCCCTGGCTTAATGAATACATTCAGGAACCTTGGTCTTCCCAATTTAAGATCAGCCAAGTGTCCTTTAAAAAAAAAAAAAATCAGTGCATTTATAGAATAAAATCACAATTTCTGTCTTTTGTTAAAAGACTAGACATAAAATGTTCTATGTTTCTTTTAAGACTAATACTTTTTTTTTTTGGTACTGGGGATCGAACTCAGGACCCGTGTGCTTGAGAGGCAGGCGGCAGAACCACTGAGCTAAATCCCTGGCCCAAAGACTATTACTTTTTTTTTTGGTACTGGGGATCGAACTCAGGACCTTGCGCTTGCAAGGTAGGCGCCAGAACCACTGAGCTAAATCCCCGGCCCCTAAAGACTATTACTTTTAACTAATTTGAGTTAACTAAAGAACAATGTACTCTAATACAAAGAATTATGTCAATTTGTTGTGATACTAGTTACCCAGTATTGTATCTAATATTTAAAAAGTTCAGACCTTCAAATACTGGAGTTTTCTTAATGTGGGCAAGACCTATATTATACTACATACATAACAATAGCCAATAATTATTAGGTACTCTCTCTGTATGCTGGTACTTAAAGATTATTGCATTTAATAGTTTCAAGAAAGTAAACACCATCATTCTCATTTTACTATGAGGAGTCTACTAGTTTAAACTTTAAAAACAAACTATCTTGCTGGGGATGTACTCAGCAGCACCGCATCTGCCTGGCAAGCATAAGGTCCTGAGTTCGATCCCTGGTTGGGGGGGATATCTCACAATGATGAATTTTATTCACATTCCAAAAACAGTAACACTCCACATCAAATAATAAAATGTAGGGTTTTTTTGAGCAATGCTATAGTAAATTTATAGAAAAAACAGAGATGGTATGGAAAAACAAATACTACCTTTACAACAATGTGGACATATTTAACACTATTTAGATATGCAATTAAAAGTAGGTAAGATGGTAAATTTTGTGGGTTGTTTTTTTTTACCACAACTTAAAAGAACAAAAAACCAACAGCAACTTTAAGCTTTGTCAGAAAAATATTTAAGATTCTTTACTGTAATACTCAAAATATGCATTTCTTGCTTACAATAAAGTTGACATTATTCTTTTTGTTATGTAGGCATGGAAGATTATTTTATATAGTTATGAATTAAAATTTATAGGCATTTTACAGAAATAACCTATTGCAAGAAATACATGCATTAATTGCATTCTACCTCAAACATAAATTTACCAAGTACAGGTAGTCTAAGAAAGCCTCTCTAACATGGTTAGCTAACTCTGGACCCAAAGATTCACTGGAAAGAAAAGTGAAGTGTGTTGAGACACATAGTTACAAAGCCTTTGATAGTCAGAACAACAATGAAATAAATCACTGTTGAATCTAGTCTTCACTACACCCTTCATTCTCATGATTTACATAACCCCAAACAAGCCTCAAATTGTAAAAAGCTACATGGAAACTAAACATATAAATGACTACATTGAGAATGGTCTCAAGAACTATAAAAATATTTTTAAAACAACTTTTGGATGTGATATCTATATACCAATTCCCCACAATGAATGCTATTTGTTATGTTTTGCAAACATACATTAATTTTTAAAAAGAGAAAAAGAAAAATAAATGATAAAAAGTAAAACTAAACCCAACTTTTGTTAACTGTATTTGTAAAGAGTCTTCTCACCTGCGTGGCCTCGTCCTTGGAGACATCATTTCATTCCCAAGTATATAGTACCGTCTTGCTTCATGCAACAACTGGTAACACTCAGGAGAATTCTGAATCAATTGGTCCACCTCCACAGTTTGAACAAAGTAGTTGGGATGCAGCAGAGGGAGTCTCACATGTGTCAGGAGCTCGTGTAACAGTGGTCTTCGCAGATCAACAGCACGATAGACCCAACGCATGACGGCTTCAAAAACCATCTCCTCTTTACCAATAACAAGTTCATCGCTACAAATATAGTCAATGAGCTCGTCTTTGTCAAGCTCAAGAAATTCTTCATGCTGGGACACATCCTCAAAAGTCTGTAATGCAAAAGTTTTGCATTTTGTGAAGAGCGTTTTGAGTGAATGAGTGTCAGCAAAGCGCTGGATTCCTAAGCAGTTACAAGGATCAAGTTGCTCCTCCAAGAACTTGGCGCATGCATCCCGGAGAACACCAATCTGAAAGAGGCTGGAGGTTTCAAAGAGATACTGTACATTCTCTGTAGTGATCTTCACCTTTCCAGTATAAACATACTGCAAAAAACATTCCATAGCTTCAGCTAAAATACCATTGATTTCAACCAACATTTCTCGGCTTTCCCTGTGGTCATTACAAAACATAGCTCTGAAGTAGCTACTGCAGGCTGAGAGAACAGCTCTATGGCAAGGAAACTCTCTTCCTTCCACACAGATGATAACATCTGTGAATAAGCGACTGTCTCGGAATTCATTAAATATCTGGAGTATGTTTTCAGCATGGGATGATCCTGAAGAGAAGTCAAAAAACTCACGGCCTGTCAGAGATTTAGGGTCCATTTCAAAAACTTTACGCTTAGTTGCTGGGGAATCACGCACCCCAAGATCCTCTCTGTTTAGTCTGCGTCCCAATATTAGTACCATTGTTACATCAGTTGACTATATAATTGTTGAGAAATGGCTGTTAGGGATCTTCTTTACGTGGCTAAAATATAAAAAAAAATTAAAGTTTTTGAATGTGTAAAAAATTTAGCATTCAAGTTACAAAATTTTGTACATGGGGGAGGGAAAAGGGTGGGGGGGAATGGGATTTTTAAAAAGTTACATAATTTCATTTTGATATAAATACAACAATCACAATATAGTTCACATAGGGTACAGGATACTATCTCATTTTAATAAAAGTTAAAGAAGAAAAATTAGCATTTGCACTATTAGAACATTGGGGTAATTTGTAGTAGCATTCCTGAAGTTCCCTGGCTGAAAGGATACCATGTATATTTTAAATTACTAATAACCTTCCATCTTCCTTTTATATAGCTGGGTTTCATTTTACTTACTAACTGCAAAGACTAATCAGAAAGACGTAAGACAAAATTTCACTAGTCAGAATTCTAAAAAACTAATTTAATATAGCACTGCTATAAATGAATTTAGCTATAGCTATCAGCAGACTTAAAAAATATGTATACTGTTTGACTAGCATCTCTTTCTGGCAATCTCTCTCTAAGAAAAATAATCAGGAATATATGGAAAGATTTATCTACAGATATATTCAATGCTGTATTAGTAGAAAATACTTAAGGCCCTACAATAGAGGATTAGGGAAATAAGAGCGTATCTTCACTCTACATAGCTATTAAAAAGTATATAGTCCATTAAATGACATGGAGAAATATTAGCCAGATAGTAAATGAAAAAGCAGACCATAAAACATCTGCTAAAAGAAAAATATGTATCTTAGTGCATCCAGGGGTAGAAAACAGGAGGTATATATGCCAAAAATTAAGTGCTTTATTTATCCTCTCTACTTCCCTCAATATTCTCATTATAAATAGGTAATACTTAAGAGATTTATTTTTAAAAAAGCATGTTATCTAGGCCTTGCTTCCTTTCACTAATATAAGAAAATCCTCCAATCCCGCAGAGACTACTATAAATAAGTAACCAATGGAATTTAGGGACTTTGCTATAGATATCAATTCTCTGATGTTAATTTTAAGGGAGTTCTACTCCCACTCTGCACATTTCTAGAAGGTGATACATGGTCCAACATATATATAATTGGTTTGAGTGCTTACAGTAATGCTCATCTATTCTACACTCTCAGAATCTCATTCGCAATCTCTTTGAAGGTCCCAGCTTGTTCCCGAAATATATTACCAATGGCAGCAACAAGAAGGTAGCTAAACAGCATGCATAATCCACAAAATCACAAGTCACAAATAAAACTGGGACTTGAGAGCTAACGATCTTAAGACTGTATAGTATTTTGTGTATTTGGTCACATATTAAATTAAGAAGAAAATGTGATAAAAAATCTAGAACAACTTATTATGTATTCTTTTCCATGTTATTATCTTTGTTATTTTTTCTCAATCACTTTTTTTTTAAAAACTGGCAAAAAATCCAGGGCCTTCTCACTGAGCAACATCTCCAGCCTTTTTATATACTTTATTTTGAAGCAGGGTCTTTCACTAAATTGCCCAGCATGGGCTTGAACTTGAAGTCCTCGTTGCAATATTCACTAAATAATTCAACTTTCATGGATTCCCTCACTGTTTACCCATGTTGTCATTATCACCACCACTAGCAGTAAGTATTTATATTCCTACTCTTGTCTGTCAAGAGACTGTGCTAGACTAGGGGTTATAAACATTAAGATAATATTCTTGGGATTTTGCTTTGTTCTTTAATATAGCTGCAACAGAACATTTTGCCAAAAAAGATATATACCAACATAAGGTAGCACCACATTGGCACAGACAACACAATTCACCTTAAACCACTACTACTTTTTTGTAGACAGAGTCTCACTGTGCTTCCAACCTGCCCTTGAAGTTGCTATGTAGCCCAGGCTGGCCTCGAGCTCACAATCCTCCTGCTGGAGCCATGTGCACCACCACACCTGGTCTCCTTACACTTATTAATATTTTTAATTTCTTCCTGTAGCCCAGCACTCAATCCTCCTGAAGTTTAGGCGACAGGATTTCCATCCAGTAGATGTGTACCAGGTTAGTCTGATCGTTCAGGGGAAACTACCTGTGTGTGACACCTGAAGGACACTTAAATACTTGCATTCTGTAGACACCTTTCCATTTCCTAGTCCATTTTCCCTTGTGCAAGTAAAGTCAGAGAAAACAGGCAATTTATCAGTCAAATGGGATAAATGATAAGAATGAAATAAATAATGCAGTATTTTCATCTAAGATCCTGAGATGGGGATTCAGAGGCAGAATGTTGACATTTTTTAAAAACTCCTAAAATGACCGAAGAGTATCATGCTCTTTGATCTTCTCTGAGAATCCTGCAAAAATAATCAGGAAGTTCTTGGAAAGCTACCAGGAAAGGCTTGATTAACTATTAGGAGCTAAATCTCTGTACTAACCGTGTATTAAAAGACTGATACAACCATGGAAGCCTTACTTATTATACATGCATTAGAAACAAAACAGAACTAAAGACAGTCCTTTTTTGACTGCATACTTTCTAAGGATTAGCTAACAACTCTAATATCTCTATAACGTTGGTACTACAGTTAACTCTCTAAGTTGCTAACACAGTTAGCAAAAAAGTTGGTTTAGAGCCATGGATTGGTATAGCCTTAGAGTTTTTACATACAGAAATAAGATAAGATTTTTCTAAACAGACAGGAACTATTTACAAAGTAAGCAAAAGATTGACAGGAATAAACTTTTCCATTTCCAGGATTTAAAAAAAAAAATCAGAACATTCCAGTTATATAAATATACATATGACTTACTTTCTAAATAAGTAACAAAAGTTTGTGATGTAACAGTATGGCAATAAAAACTCACACAGAAGACACTTAAATGAACACATACAAAAGTGTAAACAAACCCACAAGAATGTCTTTTGTTTTTTTGAGACAGGATCTCACTATGTAGTTCAGACTGGCCTTGAACTCACTATGCGGCCCAGGCTGGGTTCGAACTTGGAATCTTCCTGCTTCAGTATTCTACAGTGCTGAGGTTACAGGCCTCTTCCACCATGCTTGGTGACAGAATGCTTATTAATGGCTGGGTTATGAAGTAAATGTCAACAAACTACCACAGATATAGTTAATAAAATTAGTTTCTCCTAAGTTAGAGGCAATATTGTAAACATGTATGTCATAGTTGAAGCAAGCTAGATTTTGAACTGTAATCTAAGCTTTGGAGATTTTAGGAACGGATTTTCCAAAGAACAAATAAAAGCTCCATTTCATTTTGTTAATTTTAATACCTAAGTGAATAAAAATATGTTTAAAATATTTTGTTCTCATTGTTTGTTTTGGATTTTGATGCAGGGGATTGAACTCAGGGTCTCTGGTACACTAAGCACAGACTTGGTCACTGAGCTCTACTCCGGCCCTATGATCAGTTTGAAAATCAGTATCACTCCCTGATAACTTACAAGTTCATGTTTGCCGCAATGCAGGCCACCCAACTCCTTGGGTTGTGGCTGTCCGTGCATGTGAGTGTATGTTCACATGCACATGCATACAAGCATGGGTTAAAATTTAAAAACCTACTTAGAGAGCATAGAATCACTTCTGAATTCCAAGCTCCTATGTATTTGCAGGCAGCAGCATATACTGTATCAAATATGGTTTTAATTTGAAGTTATGTTATATTTTTATATACAGAAATCTATTCTCCAAACCAAGATAGATCACTACTGTTGCCTAAATGTCATTTTTTGTTGTTGTTGAGAAAACTTAAGTATTGATATCTCAAATGATAAAGAGAGAACAATTCAATTATGATAAACAAACTGTGGTGACCTGAAGTATAACTTGTATTTCCTTTTGTTTTTGGTACCAGGGATCGAACTTGGGTCCTTGCGTTTGTATGGCAGGTGGCAGAGCCACTGAGCTAAATCCCTGACCCTATAACTTGTATTTGAATTTTTGCTTTACTAGTTTCACATTATGACTAGATTAGTCACAAAGTTAGCTTCTCAAATTGAGAATTTATTTTTTCTTTTAAAAACTCATTTTAAAATTTAGATTATCTAATTTAAATTCTTGTTGCATTTCAGGCTCAAAAAATTCACACTAGCAATTTTAACTTTAACTACAGATATAAGCCAGGGATTTAGCTCAGTGGTTCTGCTGCCTGCCTTGGAAACGCAAGGATCTGAGTTCGATCCCTGGTACCAAACTAACTAGAGATGTAATTACTGGTGTTAACAATAAAATACTTTTTTTTTGGTACCAGGGATTGAACTCAGGACCTTGCACTTGCCAGGCAGGTGCAGCGCCACTGAGCTAAATCCCTGCCTAAAATACCATTAAGGAGGACTGAGGATTTAGCTCAGTGGTTCTGGTGCCAGCTTTGCAAGCTCAAAGTCCTGAGTTTGATCCCCGGTACCAAAAAAAACCCCCCAAATACTACTAAACCTCTGTTTCCATACACTGCATTTTCTCTTGAAAACATGTTCAGAATGCAAAATGAAATACTGTATTTTAAGAACTTAATTTCTCTTTGGTTAAAATAATAGGAAATCATGTATGAAAATCATATAGGAAATCATATAGTAGGAAAGGAAATCATATATGAAAATATATATATATAGATGAGTTAGTGGGCACAAATATGACCAGATTGTCATGTCACTGACTTGCTATCAAAGTTACCTAGTTGTCAGGAAAAGTTAGTATCCCTTTCTTTGTTTTCCTAATTTTTCAGAAGCTTTATTCCTGGAGCTACATTCTCACTTGAAAAGAATGACTTAAGGTACTTCCTGCTAAAGATACTCTAGGGCTTTTTCCAACTGTGGAAGTAATAAATGCTGTAGAACTACTTTCTGATTGCTAGGTAGATTTGAAATTACATGTATTTGGCCTATGGTCCCAGAAAAATGAGTGGAGACTATTTTGGTATCTTGAAGACTGGAGAAAAATGCAGAAGAGGAACTGAGACTCTCAGGAAGGAATACAAAGGAGTGGGCAGTTAGTAAAAGAAATGATTGTGACATTGCCTTCCTAGAAAGATTTCTATTTAAAAATTTTAAAATTTTGAACCAGAGGCTCATTAAGTTGGCTAGGCTGGGCTTGAATTTGTGATCCTCCTGGCTCAACTACCCAGAGTACTGGGATTATAGGCATGTGACCATGCCCAGCTTCTTTATAGTCTTATTTTATTTATTATTTAATTTTTATTTTTTGGTACCGGGGATCGAACTCAGGTCCTTGCGCTTGTGGGGCAGGCGGCGGAACCACTGAGCTAAAGCCCCAGCCCAGGTAAGGTTTTTTATTGGTACCAGGGATTGAACTCAGGATCTTGCGCTTTCAAGTCAGGCGGCAGCTTCTTTATAATCTTAAAGCTAGAACTGTTCCTTGTCACTTGGTGTAAGGGTTCTATAGTTAAAGTTAAAAAAAAAAAGGTTTACAATTTCTAATAACAATATTTAGATAGTTTATAAATACTATACCTTTTTAGCATTTGCTCGATCAAAGCTCCAGCCAAAGTTTTTGTGCTGTCTTAATGTCCAGACCTAAAATAAATGGAGAACAGCAACATGTAAATCAAATACAAAAGTTCTTAGTAAACTCTAGTTTCTGACTGATAGCTCATCTTTACATAAAAAGTCAAGAAGAACAACACTTAAGGCAAATTAATAATTTTAGGTTCTTTTATATATAAACCAGTGTTCTAATCACCTCCAGTATTTTATCCACAGTAAGATTTCTTGAGTGATAAATGAGTAAAATATTCAAAGCAACACCCAGCTAAATATAGCACTGAGATTAAGAAAAATACATATTCTGTGATAATTCCACTTTGGATATTTGAAGAATATCTGGAAATTGATATTTGGTGCCATTAGATAATTCTAAGAGTCTATTTCTATCAAGATTACCGTAAGTAAACAATTTAGTTACTATGTATTGTATAACTAAGAAATCAACATAAATAAATCTTAAGAATTAAATTCAGGTTTTAGATCCTTAGTTATCTAGATTTTCTATATCTGAGTTCATCAATTAATATTTTTTCTTTTAATACATAAATGTCTTCTGCTTGTTGAACCTTATAGATCTGCTACCTATAAAAACACAACTAATACAGCACAATTCTTTTCCTTTGTTTTTTTTTCCTTTTTTGTGGAAGGGAAAGACAAGAATGCTTAAGAAAAAATACTAGAACTTTGAGCTTGCACAGAATGGCAATAGTATTTAAATACAAGCAATTTCTGAAATAGAACTCAAATTCTAAACAACTTTGGCAAATTCAAAAGTTCATCCCAAAAGCAAAAATAAACTACAAACTGATTTTTAATATATATGCAAGCACATCTCTCCCCCACACTGTGCTATGAGTATGAGACGAATGTCACCTTATATGTTTCCTTACTTTCAGACTTCATTCTAACTTGTTTGTAAAGAATATTGCAAGTTGGTCAGGTTAGGGGACTGTTTGTTTTGGGTAAGGAAGTACTCTTTCTCAACCAATAACAAGATCTGCACCAATGTATGAATTTGGGTCAATTCAAAAAACATTTGTAGAGAGTCTACTCTGTGTCTGACATCAGAGTAGCAAATATTGGATTTGGATTCAAATTTAGACTGTAGGGGTAAGACTGGAACCAAACAAGAATTCCAAGATTGATAATAAAACAGATTCAAATTCTCAGAATTCCTCCAAAAGAAAACTAAAATAGGGCCTCTCAAGACTCATTTGGTTTAATATTATTCCTTATGGCATAGAAAGGGCAAGGCAATTCACCTGGGCATTTTCTCCAGGACTTCTAGGTAATACCAACCTAATATAGTAAAGGGCAAGGGACAGAAGAGGTCAGGGTAACAAAGTCTGAAGAGGGCATATAGTAACAACTGATCTAGAGAGTAGCTGTACTACAATCGGCTTCTTTTTCCTTCAGAATAAAGGGATCTTATAAAAGAGATTACTATCACCATTAAAGATAGTATGGATTTGTGAAGGCCTTCTAAAGACTAAATATTGTACCAGTAAATGCAGTAAGTAGTGCATTGCCAGGTGTCATGCTTTACAATACTCCATTGTTGTCCTCAGATGGAACCATAGATGAACAACAACCCAGAGCAAACAAGAAATGCTAACCAAGAGATTTATCTTTAAAAATACATAGTAACTTAAAAGAAGGAAGCTGGTAAATAATTGCAACATAGTAAATCCTTTATTTTTAAAATAACCAGCGAACTGTATTTAACAAAGTACTATACAAAACCAAACAGGTTTTATACATTTCAGATATTTTTACTCTGTCACAAACACTACTTTATCTGATGACTTTTCTTTTTTACTTTTGGTGCTAGAGATCATACCTGTGCTAAGCCAAGTGCTCTACAACTGAGCCACACACCCTAGCCCCTGTTGACTTTTTAAAATTTCACAAAATAAAGTATTGTTCTGGAGCAATAGTTCTTGAACCAAGTTTTACAAAGATAATATTTAAAGTCCAGTTTTCAAGCTATTTTCAACATTTCCAATTTCTTCTGTGTGTGTGTGTGCATGTGCATGTGTGTGTTTTGTGTGGTGCTGGGGATCAAACCCAAGCCCTTGTGAAGTTAATTAAGCATATGCTTTACCACTGAGGTACACACCCAGCCCATAACACTTCCAATCCTTAATGCAATCACCAAGATCATATTTATCTACCAGAAGAGATTCAAAACCAACTAAGACCTCTAGTTACCTGGCTAGAAATGTAACAAGTAACGATTATCTTGATTAGCTAGAACATCAGATGAGCAATATACATACAGGACTTTGGTGAGAGAAACAGAAATACAGGGGAGAAAAATTTAGATCTTAGTATGTCAGACTAGACAATACACTTCTTTCTCTTTTTTTTTTGGTACGAGAGATCAAACTCAGGACCTTGAGGTTGTAAGGCAGGCGGCGGCACCACTGAGCTAAACTCCTGGCAACAATACACTTCTCTAACTAAGAAAGAATACTATCTTCTCCTAAGTCACAGAAAAAAATAAAAAATTTCCAGTGTTTCTCTCCCTTGCAATGAAACTTTTGACTACTGATATTCTCAAACTCCTAAAAATAAAAAAAAAAGAAATCATCAGTCACCAAACATCGTACTGCTCTGTTTTGCCTACTTATGATTCTCACTAAACTTGACATGTAAAGAATGTTATTTGATTTTGTCTTGATCACATTTAGTTTCTTTTAGGTACTTAATGTATTATTTTATATTGAAATTAAGAAACCTATAGATACGTGACATGGTTCCTGTTTACAAAATTAGTTTTGGTTCTTTTATTAGAATTAAATCTGCAAGGGTACCACCAGGTGCTGTGTCACTTAAACAACTCTGATTTTTTTTTTTTTTTTTTGATACCGGGAATCGAACTTGGGACCTTGCACTTGTGAGTCAGGCAGTGGAACCACTGAGCTAAATCCCCGGACCTTTGAGGCAGGAGGGGTTTGAGGCCAGTTTGGAGAACATAATGGGACCCTGACTCAAAACAAAAACAAAAACAGACTGGCAAATCCTGAAAATGTATACTCACTGGATGATGAATTTGGGCGGAGACAAACTTTTCAATTAAAAAACGTAGTCACTGTGGTTTTCTTTATTTTTTATTTGGACATGGGGTCTATGCTGCCCAGGCTGGGCTCCAACTCCTGTCTTAGCCTTGGAGTAGTTGGGGCACAAGTATGGCACTGGCATGGCTTACTGCGCTTTTCTTAGTAGAAAGGAATTTTAAATGCTGGCATGGTGGAGGTGAAAAAGAAACCTTCCTATAGAAATCAGTACAGAGATTTCTCAAAAAACTAAAAACTGAAGTTTCATTTAACCCTGCTATTCCCCTCTTATGTATCTTCCTGAAAGACTTAAATACATCATATTACAGGAACACATGCATGCCAATGTTTATAGCAGCACAATTCATAATAGCTAAATTTTGGAAGCAGCCTGTATGTCTATCAACGTACGAATGGATAAAGAAAATGTGGTATCTATACATAATGAAATACTACTTGGCTATAAAATATAAATCTGAGATATTTGTAGGAAAATGGATGCACCTTGAAAACATGCTAAGTGAAACAGATCAGACACACAATCCCAAATACTGTATGGTTTCTCTCATGAGAAATTCAAAGTACAAATAAAGAGCAAAATAAAAGACTGACAGAAGGAAATGGGGAGATACAGCTTTTGCAAATGGAAAGGGGACCAAGACCAAGGGTGGACGTGTGTGTGTGTGGGGGAAGGGGACGTAAAAGATTTAAGATGTGCCACATACATGTAACCAACTCCCCACAACAAATGTAATCATTGCATGTCACAAACATGAACTAAAAAAATAATAATGAAAACGGGGGTAAGGGGATCTAGAGACGGGAAGAGGGGATGAGAAGAACAAAAAGAATCAAAGTCAAGTCCATGTACCCACTCCCTAAGATGAACGTAAACATGTACTGCAAACGTACTAATAAAAACATTTTAAAATCTAAAAATGTGTAGTTGCTAGGTGGCCACATATTCTTCTGTTGTTTCAGTCATAACAGAAAACCATATAAACTTACTTCATATGTGTGCTTGTGAGGATACTGTATTTATATTCTTCATTATATAGTCCATCCCTAAATACTTACTTTAAAACCCCCAAATTTCTAGGTAAGAGGAAAGCACATACAGAAAAACCCGTGCAGTCACTTACTTATTTGTTATATAGTTAATATTTATTTTGCAAAGGCTTGACCTTTGGGTTTTAATGAAGTGGCAGAAAAACAAGGAAGTTAAAAAAAAAAAAGCGTATTGAAAAAGCATTAAGGCTTTAACAACTTGGACAGAAGCCAGGAAAGTTTAAGATAAAGCTGATAGCCATAACTCAGAGTATTATTTCTTCTTCCTGTTTAGAGACTAAGTCAGACTTTGAATAAACAAGCTTTTATCACGTGGCGGTTCTATTTTTTTTAAAAAAAGGTTAGACAGTTGCACTTGTACTTAGATATAAGAAAAGCCCTCAATTCACCGGCAATGAGGCAGTTCGGATCACAGCAGCTGCACATTCTAGTGTTGTCATCTCTAGTTGAATTTTAAAAGTATGTTAAGAATGTATAACCAATGAAAACTGTTCACATTCAATTCCTGCTTCACCCAGAAGAACTCGATCTTCCTCCTACAAAAACATATTAAGTCTTGGGTGAATTGCTACAGATTCACAGGAAAAGAAAATCTGATAAAATCCAAGTGCCCTGTTAGGTCAAGAGATGAGAAAAACCATCTTCACTATATTGTGGCTAAAAATGACTGGCCTTCCAGATTTAATTACTGTTATCTTAGTTTACAATTTACAAAACACATCTGCCCTTCCCTTCTCAAAACTCTGAATTACCTCGAAGATTGATACACAGAAGTTTGTAAACCACATCCCCCAAATAAGGAAAACAAATCATCTAAGCTGGGGTTTAGAAGAATCTCGAAATTAGGGTAGTACACTCAAATGATCTTTTTTTAAAAGTAGAAATCGTTTCGATCTTAATCATAATTTTACAAACCTAACGTTGATTTTTACCAACCAGCTGGTGTACTTTAATGGTCTTTAGCTGCAAACGCTTCGATGGTGTTTATAGACGGCAAAGCAAGTGCTTAATCATTATAATCAATTGTGACTAGTTATTGCCTCACAGTCACCCCAAAATGTGGCGTTAGGGGCTATATTTAGCTGTCTGGGACCTTTTTACGGAACAGGCAGGAATCAATTCGCAACACTTCCTTTGCACCATCCGGGCAGATGGTGCGACAGCAGTTACAGGGTGCTGATTTTTCGGTCCTGGGAGGGTGGACCATGGCCGCCATCCTCGGCATGCCTGGAGCTGCCCACGGGCTCCGGCTCCAGCAGCTGCGGACGCGCGCGCCTCCCCCGTAGCAGCCCCGGCGGCCGGGCGCGCTCCCGATCGTCCTCCGGCTCACCTTCAAGGGGGCGGGGAGCACGGCCCGGGAGGCCCGCTTCGTGACAGGTCGTCCGCCAATGAGAACTCAGAGCGAGCTCGCCGGCCGGCCCCGCCCGCCAGCCCCGAGGGGCCCAGGCGCGGCGCGTTAACGGTCTGCACCCCGTCGCCCACGTCGGTAACTAAATTAAGACGCCGAGGCGGGGAGTAGCAGGGGGCAGGGGGGAGGCGGGGACTCGGCCGCGGGACGCCCTCGGCCCCCACCCCCGCCCTGCCAAGGCTCCCCGGGGACCGCAGCCACAGGCCGGTTCCCGATGCGGGCTCGGTAAACAAAGACTCGCGGGCGGGGAGAACGTCGGCGACGGCGCCGAGCTCGTTTCGAAATCGCTCTAACGGGGCTCCGGGGTCCGTGGCCCTGGGGACCCACGGCCGTCCGGTCGGTGCTCCACTACAGGGCCCTTGGCCGCCCGCGCCACCCGGGCAGCCCCGAGCTGAGGCCGTGGCACTCGGGCGCTGCCTGACGTAAAAGCAGCGGCGGCGCCGTTCGAAACCCCGGGCCACCTGTGGGCCTCCAGTCTCCGTCTCCCCGGGGCGACAGCGTGGCCGCACCGGCTGCTCAGGCCGGCGACCCCACGCCCCGCAGGCCGCGCCGCAGTTCCGGGTGCGGGTGCCGAGGCGGGGCGTCCTCCCCCGGGAGTCGTCGCCACGCCGGGGCCGCCCCACTCACACACCGTGCGACCCGGTGCCCCCGCCTCGGACGAGGGCCCTGCGGAGTCAGCAGCAGCCTCCGCGGGGCCTCGCTGCCCCTCCAGCCCCGAGGTCGCAGGCCCTGCCCTGGTCCTCGCCTTGCGTCCGGTCTGGAGCTGTCACCCCGGAGTACCTCTCGGAGTCGGCTGGAAGCAGCCAGCAGCGCAGCTCACTCCCGAGCGCCGGCGCCCTAGAGAGCCAGCAGTCTCCGCCGCAGCTCACAACAAAGGAAACATGTGACCGTCCCGGCCAAAACACTGAGCGTCACCCAGCCCTGGCCAATCCGGGGGGGCGGCCTCCGCGCGGGGCACGCTGGGAATTATAGTTCCAAACCTGCTGATTGGAAAGGTTGTGTTGCACAGCCGGTTACGGAAATGCAGCTTATGCAAGGAGCCTACTGAGAAACATGCGTAGTAGACTTATTGTCCTCAACGCTTCTCCAACACCCTAGGCACAAACAGAACTAGGAATTCCCAGAACCAAAGAGCTTGGAGTAAAGCCTAGAGATCTCTTTATTTGATCATTTCCTGTCCAATTGGGAAATCTGAGGACCTGAGGGGTGGAAAGGAGTAGTCACTAGAAGGCTCGAGAGAAACTTCCTTTCTTTGTAAATCTCTTGTCACTTGTATCAAATCCTAGGTTACCTTTTTATTTTAAACATACAAGCAAGTTGAACTGTTGCAGATCAATATTCCAAAGCAGATTGATTCCCCAAAGGGCATTATTTTGTCATTTTGTTTTTGCAAATATTTTTTTCGAGGATGAATGTATAACCTGGTTTTTCCACCAATTAACTGGTTTTTAATATCAAAGTTATAGCTCATTTCTCTTCTACACTTCATGAATACAATCATGTGTCTATTACATGAGAGGATGTGACCAGGAAATAATATAGAAGGCATGTATCCACTTCTTTTATGTATATACTTTCTAGTCTCTTTTCTGACTTACTAAAATTATTTAAAATCAAAATACTTGGTATTTATTTGGTACCTACTCTAGGGGAGGAAAAATTTCCTTAACTCTCTCCTCAGGGTTCCGGGGTTTTTTTTTTTGTTTTTTTTGTTTTTTGTTTTTCATACCAGTGATCGAGCTCGGGAACTTGCGCTAATAAGCCAGCCCAAAGCAGTGTTGGAAGACATTTATTACCTAATTTTTTTTTTTTTTTTGGTACTGGGGATTGAACTCGGGACCTTGCGCTTAGCAAGGCAGGCAGTAGAACCACTGAGCTAAATCCCCAGCCCCTCCCCTCAGGCTTCCTAGTTAGGCTTAAAATAAAACTGCTCTGGCTTGATCAGACCCCACAGGCAAAGTTCTGAGAGGCTGGTGTGAGGCTTCTTAACGTTTTTTTGGGCAGCGGGGTTTGAGACAGGATCTTGCTATGTAGTTCATGCTGGCCTCGAACTAATGATATAGATCAGGCTGGCCTCAGACTCACCACAGTGCTCCTACCTCAGCCTCCTGAGTGCTGGGGTTACAGACATGCTCCACTGCCTGGCTTGAGAATCCCTAACTTTTGCTGGCTCTTGTCAAAGGTCCAGGATCTCATAATTGGAACTTCTGGGTTCAACAAGGTGCCTTTAGCAGGTGGCGCTGCTGCCAACCCATGATTGGCACATTCGGTGCCAGAAATTGTAGGGACAGAAAAAAGTGATCTTTTTTCTCAACCATAAGAGGCCCTTTCCATATTCCTATAACAAAAGGCAGTTGAACAAGAGAAAAGCATAAGTTTATTGAATCAATTACAAAAAGCACCACCTACCAGGCATGGTAGTACACACCTACAATCCCAGCACTCAGGAGGCTGAGGCAGGAGGACCACTAAGAGTGTGAGACCAGCCTCATACTGAGTACAAGGCCAGCCGGGATTACATAGTGAGACCCTGTCTTTAAATAAATTTAAAAAATAAAAAAGCAAAACACCACCAGGCCCTCTGGGATCTGCTTTGGGTTTCCCTGGCCCAAAGAAGTCCCCAAATCCTTTGGGGGAAAATAGGTACAGGAGGATCACTCAGAACTCTGAGACGGTATGGAGGGAGGGGGACCTAAAGGCAGGTGGCCTTGGAGACAAGCAGCCCTGGTGCCCAGGCAGAGGCTTGCTGGTAGGTTAGGGCTCTTCAGGCAGAGAGTATGGGTGGTTTCAGTGCGGGTACAGAGTCCTGGTGATTATGCCAAATGCACAAATCAGTGAGCGTGGCTGAGTAGCAGCCTTTTCCTCAGCTGGGAATGGAACAGAAGCACAGCTAGTAAGTTCAGGGGAAATCTGTTGAAATTCAGTGAGATAAAGCCATGGTGGTGAAGGAAGGGTCTTCAGACCTGTTTCTTCTCCTTTCAGAGAGACAGTAATTGTGCTATATCTGTCTTTGGTCTTTGTTCCACTCTCTGCAGTGTCCATGTCTGCCCTGAAGATCTGAAGGTGGCCAGGCATTGAGAGATCTTCCCTGCAGACCACAGTTAGGATCATGCCCTCAGTACACCAAATATTTGCAAACCCCTCTGTCCTCCTGTTGACTTCCAGCAGTCAGAGTCTCCCCTGTCCCCAGAGGTAATAGAAAGGTTGGAGTCTGTTAAAGCGCTCTGGTGCTACCTCTTCCGTAGGGCTTTCTCTGATTTGCTCCTCTCTTGACACCTTCTGTGAGCCCACGCACACCTTCTAGCCCTTTAGCCCATGACGCTTGCGCTACATTCATACTCAGCCCCCGAACGCGGTTGGGCCCTTTGTTGAGGTACAACCTCAGCGCTTGGAGCTCCTCTCCCACCACAGCTGAGAAGCACTGATGAGGCAGTGTCTGTGGCTCAGTGGTATATGGAGATGTGCAAGGCCCCAGGTTCAATCCCCAGCGTTGCGAGGGTGGGGGGAAGCATCTGTGAAGATTTTACTGAAGGTTTCACAAAGAGAGAATTACATGACATTTCACATTGCGAAGATCCCTAACAATCTCTTCCCTCAGTCCCTCCTCCTACCCCCGGGCCTCTGATACATGTGTTTGAGTCTCCTCCCTTTCTGTGGTCTCTGGCACCTTCCTCTGAGAAGGCCTTCCTCCCACCTCTCTTTCTGTAATTTGTATTTTCACACTCATCGCCTCTCAAAGGAGAAGGTTCTGCTCTTCAGAAAACAGACTCTCATAAGTAACAGATTATCTCTGCCCACCCCACCCCCACTCTGTTGTCCTCCACAGACCGGGCAAGTGTCTCAGCGTGTGTTACACAACACCCTCTCCCAGTGTCAAGCGAAAGGAAGAGTAAATACGAGGCACTGTTTGCTCAGGGCACCTGGGCCTCTCCAGTGTTGAGAGCTATTCGTGCCCTCCCTTCTTCTCTGAGGAGGAAAGACCTGAATCACCTCTCAAGCTCTGGTTCTCCCTGGCTGTTTAGATACCAGGGAAGGTTTGAGTTGGCCCTGTGGGATCAACTGTCACTCCAGCCCCACTGGAAATTTCCATTTTAATCTGGGAAAAGAGGGAAATCTACCACTAGGAGGGTGAGCTTCGCGCAACTCTTGCAGCCAAACGTCCTCACAACTGAAGCAGGAAGTGGCTTTTCTATCTTCAGGGAATGGTTGTTTCTGGGACCGTCCTTCACAGGCTTGCAGTACGTAAGTGAGGTGCTGAGCTGGTGAATCACGGTGGCCTCAAGATTTTGTTTGTGAGCAAGCCTGCCACTCTAGATTCAAATACATTCATACCTTAGTATTTGACTGCTTTGAAACTCTGTGAATTTGGTGCTCAGTGCATTTTGAGGCAGAAATTTCATCCAAGTGCTCGTCTTTTGTCTGGTACTCGATGCACAAGCTAGAACTTGTCAGTGCAGACTGCCTCCTGACTCACTAGCTAATCTTTCCAGACAAATCTATTTGTTTGGATCTCGTTTTTGGTACTGGTCGTGCCTCCTGGAAGCAGTTAACAGTGAGAATGGAGGAACCACGACCAGGGTGATCTGTCTTTGGCATGAGGGTTCTGACCTCAGGAGGCTGAGGCACTGTGATTCCAGCTCTGAGCACATCTGATTTCACCTTCTCTTTTTCTTCCTTAATCATTTCCCAGGAGTGAGAGTTCAGCTGACCCCTCTGGTTTCAGAGGAGACTAGTTTATTGGAAATGTTTTGCTGTAAATGACTCCTGCCCTGACTGCTCCCAAGCTAGGCCAGATTCCTCCAGGGATAACTCCAAGCACCTTTCACATGACTTCAGCCAAACCCTCTAAAGGCCTGAACACTTGGGAAGAATGTGGTGTTTCCTGTTTGTAGTCTCTTGTCACACACTTAGACCATATTCCCACTCTCGGCTGCACTCAGCAGTCTGTCCCACAGGTGCTTCGAGTCCGAATAGAGTTCCTGCTGCAGTTGCAGAGGGCTTTGGCCTCCAGAGAACCCCGGCCTGTGACATTTAAGAGGAATGTTTGGACTCCAGCTTGATCTACGCAGCTACTGCTCTCCCTCCACATGGCTGCGATTTTGGAGACTCTGTCTTTCTACAATCCCCTGGATTGTTTCATGATTGTCCCAGGAACCCTGTAGTAGGCACAGGGAAGGGGCTGGACATTCCAAGAACATCTGTAGCCAACCTTCTTTTCCTGTTCTTCAAAGGCCCTTCCAGTTTCTTAAGAAATCACGTCAGTTAAGGCTACAGCAACAAATCTCCAGTTGAGAATTCTGAATTTAGCATCTAAGCTGATCTTTGTCTGGGACATCCATTTTGAACAATGCAACTTCCCCAGAGCTCTAGTGCAGATCTTTGAGCAGTTTCTGCTTACTACTAGTCCAGGGATCACCCTAATTTATGCTGCATCATTTTATTCACTACTTTATAAGTAGGACTTACTATATAAGTCCAGCATTTTGATACTCAGATTCCCATCTGCCTATA